CCTGCGTCCATCTTAATCCTTTAAATAAAAATGATGATTTATATATGTTCCTTGCAAAGATGCAATAAAAGTATATTACAGGATATATTATCATTTTGATACTGCAATATCACTTCAGCAATAAACTGAATACAAACACAACTAAAGGTTTGTGTTGCCCAAAGTAGAAAATAACAAAGTGTAATGTTAATGCAGCAGATTTTACATTTAACAACCGTAAACTCAAAGAAAAGGTTACACAATTTGGGAAATATATTTGACATCATTGTTTTCGGAAGTGACTGCTCCAGGTCTGAGATGCAGAACATAACTGTTCAAAGGTACATCAGTAATACTCAGGAAGCTCCGTTCCTCAGCCTTACAGGGACTCGGCGCAGCAAGCCTCAGGTTCCCAACTCAAGTCCCGACAGACTGAACTACTGCCTCATGTTAATTCATACGTTTTAATGGTGCTTTTAGGAAAATCAAAGAGATGGACTGGAGGTTTTCCTATGTCCAGTTGTTATGCTAAGATAAGATAGTGGAACATTGACCAACTCTCTACAAACAAGGAGGCATGTGTGTTAGTATTGACTAACTGTTTCAACAAATTAAATTCACTTCATTCATTTAATTCACTTTTTGAAATGGTAGTTCAAAATGACAAAATATCTCTTAAAACAACAGAGAACCCGTTTTTATAATTAAAGCTTTCCTGATCAAGGCACCTTTGCCTTACATGTCGACCAAAGCTGAACTCCCCTGATTGTGCTTCCAGCTTTAGTGTCTATATTTCTGTCCCAGCTGTTCATGGAATTGCTCGTGTTGACAGACGGATATTTTGGTGGGCGGGACAAGAGATCATTTCTGCCTTAGGATGTCCCTTAACTGTCCAGCTTGGGGAAAGATTCAGAACAGCTCGAGCTCTCATTCCTCCTCCCCGCCGCTCCCAGAGCCCTATATATCTTACAGCCGACAGTAGTGCCAATAATGACAAAGCTGTCCTTGCTGTTAAAGGACTTTTGCATGTTGTTCTGTTGACTTCAAGACTTACAGCCCTCTGTAAGCTGCAACATCGCCTCTTACAAAAACAAAAATAATGTTTAACAATTGGTTTAAGTTGCTTTAGGTCTGCCTCTTCAAGAAATCAAACTTTAACGTTTTTTCTATTTGATATAACTCAATATGAAATAATATGTTACTCTAAGAACCTTACAGAATCAATCACATCAGACAAGCCAGCTAGAGAAAGAGTCCCATACAGCCACAATGTTTTACATTGAAGTTACTTGTAATGCCGGTTTGTCACTTTGAGGTGAATGCTTACGGTCTGTATGAGTGGCAGAGGGGTGGTGACAATTTGTTGGTATGTGATGTGTTCGGAATTAAATGGGCTGGTTTTTTAGAGTTCACAGTGACCACTGAAAAGAACAGCACAGGAATGTGGAGTAAATTAGACGGAAGATTTGGAGAAGCAGAAACCTCTATGATTGAATGCCTGCTATGAAAACGCTGCTACTAAAAGTTTTTGAGAAGAATTAATTCTTCTTTTTCTTAAGTATTTTCTTACACCAGTACTATTACTTGTAATTGAGTCAAATGTTTGTTATGTAACAGTAGTTGTACTTGAGTACATATTTTTAGTACTCTTTACACCTCTGGATGCCAGACGAGCTGAATAAACATCTGGGAACCACAGAACAGGCCCTATGTTCTTGATCAGGAAGTAGAAAAATTGGATTTCAATCCAGAGCTCCATGGCCTTAATCTGCAGGATTAGAGCATCGCAAAAGTTCTCTCCCGTGTGTATTTTATGTCTGTGTGTGTGTTTGCAAGGCTTTATTTGTAGGTCGCCTGCATGTAAGCAAGCTTTTGAGTACCAGCAAAGGTGTGAATGAGTGTGTGGACTGTAGTATCCTCAGCCACATGTGCAGCTACAGGCAGACAGAGAGACAGGCAGACATAAATGAAGGGAGGGAGGGAGGTGTGGAGGTGCCCATGGTTTAAGAGCTAAAGCCGCTTGGCCCAGATGAAGATGGCTCTCAGGCTCTCTGCCAATCAAAGCCTGGCCAACGTTACACTCTCACTGACAGGGCAGGGAAACGGTCAGTCAGGCCACACGCATACTTAGTGTATGTACAGCCCTCAGTTTAAAGTATAGGACAGACAGAGTGTGATGCATTAAATAACAGAGCATTACAGGGAGAAAGACAGAGTCTGGGTTAAAAGCCCCTTAAAGCTGCTTTAATAGTTTTATTAGTTTTATATGAACAATGGATGCTATTGCTGAGTTTTTTTCTTCATTCCCAAAACTTACAGTATGTTATTGTTTAAAGCAGTTACCTTTTATATTATTATTAATATTATTATTATTATTATTATTATTATTATTATTATTATTATTATTATTATTATTATTATTATAATAATTATAAGTTGCTAAAGAGACCAATACTCAGGATGTGGTGAAGACAAAAACAATATTTGATTTATCAAGAGGTCCAAAATGTCATTCTACAGTATATAGCTGATAATGTAGGCCTCATGTGTTTGATGAACGAGAAGCAAACTTGAAAATCAATGCATTTCCACCCACGTCAAATGTGCAACCACCTAAACTTTAGTATAAATGCTCAAAATTTTGAAAGTTTTTGCTAAATCTTGCAGAAAAATAGAACAGATCTGTGTTGAGCACTAATGAAAAAGAACACTTTTATCATATTACTACATTAGGCATAATGGTATAGGTAAATACAAAGACAAAGATTTAAACAGATGGAGGACTGACTTTGTGTATTAATGACAACATCTTGTTGCACCCCCATTTTTATGGTATAAATAGATGTAAATTGAGAAATATACACCAAAATGTGTTTATCCAAATATTGGCTTGATAGTGGGTGGGAATACACAACATTTTGAATTAACTTTAACTAATTTTTTTAGGGAAAAAAAACAGCTTTAATTTTACCATGATTATAACAAAATTAGAATTTCTGTTTACAGATGTATTTATTATTACTGAACCTTTAATGATCAAACAATCTGTTAATGCCACTTTTAAGACCACATGATGAAGTGGGGGTTTATTGTGAGCTAATTTCGGGGGTCTGTCCATTTATGTCTATACTGTTTAGCTTTTTGAAACCCAGCACCCAAGCACTTGTTGTTTTAAATATCAAAGATGCCTGTGCACTACTGGGTGACATGAGTCAACATGATGCAGTCTGTATCTGCTGCCAGTCAGTGAGGATAAAGTCTCTGTGAACATCTGCCAAAAGTCAGAGATCATCTAACCAGAGATGGGCACCCAGTTCATTGTGACATAATGTCAAGCATACAAATACTAATGGTTCGAAAAATAAAAAAAGCTTTTTTTCCTCTTTTTATCCGTTAAATGCCAGTTGTGTTTTTGGCCAAGCTATCTTTGTCACTAGGCAGGTGGTGTGGATTAGATATGCTCTTTCCCAAAATGATACAAGCACCATACATGAAAGTATACGAAAACAAAAAGCTTGCAGTTTTGTAGTCTTCAACAACTACATACACATTCCTTCCCTCTTCTCACTTTACTCCTCCATTTATCTTCCTGTTATGTCCATTTGTCCCCTTCAACCAGCTCTGCCACACCACTTTATTAGTCTTTTACCACAATCTATAATTTGTACTGATTTGGATTCATGATGCTGCCTCCCTTACAAATTGAAATTTCACAGGAGTTAAGAGTCCTTAAGGTGACCCTGTGCTATAATTACAATTTACTGACAAAAAAGAAGACTGAAACAAGTGTTTTAGAAGCTACAAATTAAAAGTACATCTAAGATTTGAAAAAAAAACCTAAACAAATGAGTAAAAAATGGCAAACATTAAAAAGCGTTTCATACACACGTGTGAGCTTGTATATGAAAAGGAGGTGACCAAGTATTGAACCATGTGGAACACCATATCAAAGTTAATGGAAACTTAAATGTGCTCTAACTGTGGGTTTTTCAGGGTTGTAGTCTCTTAGCACCACACTAAAAGTCCCACTATTTGTAGCGTCTTAAGAATGAGAGTTTTGACAGAAAGTCAATTACTTCAGTTTTTCGGAAATGCCATACATTTCACACACAATTGTCCCTCAAGCAAATTGATATGGGGATCTTCTAATTTTTCTGTAAAACTGACTCAAAAAGCTGTTTTCTTAACAAGCTGTTGCGGTTTAAAACATACAAACATGAACCAGCTAATAGTGTCAGGAAAACCAATGATGTCACAGGTGACATCATGGGCCGGCTGGACATTGGCTGAGATCAGCCAGTAAACATCAAATCTTTAAAACAGAAATCTTTGAAATTTTCAAAGATAGTTTCCTATCACTGCAGAATACTTGTTTTCCTTTTAATTTGTCTTTTTTACGTATACATTTACAAATAAAAAGGAAACATAATGGAAAAAAATCAGAAATGTCTCAATACCAGGGGTTGAAAATAATGCCAACACAGGGCAGTTCAACCACATTGTGTGGTTATGGTTATATGCTCGTATTTTAAGTTCACAGAGTTATACAAGTACAGCCTACAGCCCTTCCACTGATAATGGGCCATGAGCATGCTGCAAAACATAAAAGAGAGAAACAAGCAGGGAGGGGGAGAAAATAACAAAAGAGGGATGAATACAACGTAATGAAATGGAATCTCTCCTTCCGTCTGAAAAGAACATCAAAGGAGATGCTTAATCTCAGGAGGCAGTACTTTGTCATCTGTCATGCAGCTCCTCTGTCTCTCAATCCCACTACATCCATCCATCCCTCTCTCATGATGAGATGGATGATGATGAACGTGCGTGAGGGAGAGAGAGGGAGGGAGGGAGGGATAATACCTTCTGAATGCATGATGAATGTAGTCATCAGGCTTAAACTGACTGGGGGGCGAGTGGTGCACAGAGACCAAGAGCGTGCATGTGAGTGACACTGAGCACCATCATGCTCATCTACTCTCCCTTGCAGCCTCTCTCAGTCTCTCCATCTTCCTGCTGAGGAGAGACACAGATAATCACGCAGAAGACCAGTAAAAGAGAGGATAAAGTGTTGCTTTCTTCCCTTTTTTTTCTTTTTTTTTTCCTTTCTTAAGAACATTCAGAGGCAAGAAAAAAGAGGCAGGGAGTCAACAGAAGTAAAGCGCATCTTGTCGTAGACTCCAGCCCACCCAGTGCTTTTCTCTGAGCAACAGGATCAAGAGACGCTCTCAGTGCCCACAGCCTGAGGGAGAGAGTGGATGCTGAACAACATGACGGACTGCGAGGAGGCAGAGGGGGGACCCAACAGCCAGGGTGAGTGATGAAACCTGCCACACACGCATAAAAGAGGAGTGTGTATATCTGCGTGGGTGCTCCAAAGAGTGAGTCAGGGTTTACAAGATTATGTCATTTAAGGGATACAGGTATTTTTGTGTGTAAAGAGCTGAGAAATATAAAGAAAAACGGTATGTTTAACACACACACACACACTAACACACACACCATGTTCAAATGACACCGACCTCCAACCTACTTGGCTCTAATGCACTGAACCTCTTGGGGTTGCATACAAGACCACTTGAGACTTAATTTCCCCTTTTCTGCTTTCTCCCATCTGGTTTTCAAAGAGTGCTGTTTTATTAGGATAGTTGACTTTGACATCTTAGTGCAGCAGATGTGATTTTAGATTTTGTAAAATAGGTTCGTCACTTGCTTTAAGAAATATGATTCCATGTCAAACACTCATAGATTTATAAAAAAGGTTTCTAGTGAACTGAGAATGGCCCCTGCAGAGAGTCTGTGGCACATCAGCCTTTCATGTTCTCCCCATTACTAACAACTAGCTAGGGGCAATAGCTGGCTTTCATAAAAGTGCATATATGTGTGTGTGTGTGTGTGCGTGCGTGCGTGCGTGCGTGCGTGCGTGCGTGCGTGCGTGAGTGCGTGTGCGTGTTTGTGTATGTGTGCGTGCGCGTGCGTGTGTGTTTGTGCTGTCAGTATGTATACAGTCTGAGTGTACCTATGACATGCAAATGGGTCTTGAATTGCACCTTTCCATATATATATTTTTTTTTAAATCACAGATCTGTGTCCCTTTAATTTATCTTTTATGGTTATCACTAAAACTATTTAGATTTTTTTTTTTTTTAATTCAAAAGAACATTAATTGGTTTCTGTTTTGATACTTAACAGGCTACTTTTGCTGGTTTTGCCTCAGACCACACGTCCAAATTGGAGACATCTTTGTGAGTTCTGACACTAAACTAATCACTAAACTAATTGGCCCATAAACAATCAATGAATTTAGGAATTTTTCTATCACCACTTTTACAAATACAAATCTATCTTTTCAACCGCCTTCAGGGAACAGGAAGAACCTAAAAACTTGTGTCTAATTGACTCTGGCAGTTGTTTTGTAAACAACCAAGATGGCTGCCACTGGTTCACAGAATTTTGCTGCATCAGCTATTGGCGGCAATTATTAAAAATAATTTGAATTTAAACTGCTCACACCCTGGGGCAGCTGTGGCTTGGTTGGTTAGTCAGTCGTTTCTCAGCCAGAAGGTCAGGTGTTCAATCCCTGGTTCCTGCAGCCAAATGTCTGAATGTACGAGATACTAAACCCCAAGTTGCTCCTTCTACTTTGTTGATGTATGAATGTGTATGAATGGGATTAGTTACTTCTGATGGTCACTTCTGATACATACAACTTGTTTTGTAAATCTACACATGTGAAGTCTGATTCAAATTTGCAAAAGATACATTTGAAAACATGCGATCTACTTTATGAACTGGCTGAACTAATATTCCACCAACAGCCTATTGTTTAAAGGCATGTGTGAAAAATGTGATGATAAGGTTTAAAATGTAACCACAGAGTCAGTTTATTCTGGCCTGCTTTAACAGAGTAGGCAAGGTGACAGATTTATGAGATCCCTGGAGGGGCCATGTTGTCCACTGGCAATATAAATGGGTCTAATCAATAAGTTCAGTAAGGTTATTGCAAGGTGCAGGCTCAGTCCTGGAGCAGGTTTATGTGTCAAAAAATTAGTTTGTTTTTTTTTCTGTAAGAAGTAAGCAACTGGCTTATCTTGGAAATTACTTCTTTATTTCTGCCATAATTAAGATTTGTATTCTCCTTTTAACTCTGTCTTGTCATTCATGAATTACTTTTAATTTATCTTTAACATTTTGGAGTATCTAGAAACCTTTGAATACTGTCTTGAAAAAACAAAAGAATAGGTTGTTGGTCAAATAAAGCTGTCATTTCAATAGAGTGACCAGTTTATCAGATACTTCTCATAATGCAGTTCAATTGGAATATCCTGATTAGCTTGATTTTTGTTGTTGAGCCTGGGTCTACTTTCAGGTCATTATTGATGCTCTATCAGGGCGGTTGTGTAGTATGCAACAGTGGTGGAAATATAACTAAAATTATATACTTAATTGATTTATAGGTATTACTTATACTTATTACGTATTACTTATTCATATCACTTAAGTACTACATGCATATAGTACACATATATTTAATTTATCATTTAATTGACATTTAAATACATCAGAATAAGTAGCTAAATATAATAAGTAACAACACATCTGAAATCTCATAAAGGACCACGAGGTTAAGTCCACAGCTCTCTTACAGATACAGAAACTACTTGTTGAAGTGCCCAGTCTTCAGGAAGACACCCAATCTTCCACCATCCCTATCAGGACAGAGTGATGCATCCTGAGTGCTTCATCAGGCTTTTAAATCCCTCAACGTGGAGACTGTTGTAGAAAAATGGTGGATCTGTAAGCCACCAAAATACTGCTTGTATCATGTGGAGCAGCTGGTGCAGACGATAAACAAAGGTCATGTCAAAGTCACATTTTTGGCAGCATTAATATGAAAGCATTCATGTCACCATGTGTGAGTAATGGTCACAGGTGAGGATTTCATGATAATACCGGTGAATGACAAACAAAGATGCAGAAAACATAAACAAATGTATAATTTACAAATATAATAAGAATGTAAAACAGCCGAATAAAATGTCAAAATTCGGTATTGTAAGGACAATTAAATGCTTTAGACAATGGTTTGCATATTTCTTTATTTTCACAGATCATGTAGCTTCAAACGTAGAAGTATTAGTGTTTTATGTCAAGTGTGCATTAAGATGTGCTGTCAGGATAGAAGACAAACAGACAACTGCAGGTTTGTTGACACTGCTAACCCTCTCATTGTCCTAGTCACTCTGGGGGCAGATGGTCTGGAATTGCCCTTTTAGTGATGTTTAGACTGGGAGAGATTAAACTTTGCTAGGAGATATATGCACACACGCATGCAATATACAATGTAAACAATGAATCATATGAACAGTTTTAGCTGCTTCAAATTTGTGTAGTCAGTTTTCAGTAAGGAAAGTGAATGTCAGTTAATGTAAGAGCGACTGAAGGTCTAAAAGACTTCTGTCTTGCTCGCAGCTTCGGGTATTTTACTTGGGCAGTGGACTTTTAGAGGTATGTTTACAGGCTTGCTATGAATCTGCTTGTATGCTGATGATTAACTAGTTTACTATCTTCAACCCTTTTGTTCAGTTGTAAAATAAGAGTAAGACACAAAGTTCAACGCCAGCGGTTAATATTTTTCAGTCTGGACTAAAGTGGTTAGCTTGTTGACATCGCTTCATTCACGGAGGTCCAAAGTTGGGCATTTTCCCAGATAACACAACATTTAAAATAAAAGGTTAAAAAAACCTTGCCTTTCTAATAAATGTTTTTCTTGCTGCTTTCTTTCCCCTGTAAATGATCTTCTTGACACCTCAGAATTATTGTGTGACCCTCAGGGTCTTGACCCCAGGTTGGGAATAAGCGAGTTTACTAAATGCTCTTTAAAAATTCAGTACATGTTGTCGATGTCAAAAAAAACTTCCTACTGGATTCTTGTTGTTCCTCTCTAAGGTGAATGATTGACTGAGGGCAGTGGGTTAGCACAGTTTAGCTTAGCTTAGTGCAATAACAAAGCAAAGAGAAAACTGGCTAGCCTGACTCTCTGGTAAAAACATGTAAGAACTGGTTGCATGGTACAATTTTAAGTGTGCTTTTGTGTAACTTGTACAATGTATTAGCTTTAGAACTGCTATTTAGCTCTTCCTAACGACTATGCCAGGCGAACAGTGTCCTTTCACTGTAGCTTCAAATATAGCTGTAGAGTAGCATTGCACTTTTTATTTACTACTTGACATTGTTTTTTTTTTTATGATAAATATAAAACTATTCCTTTTTTAGTCAGAAATGTATGAACCTCTTAACCCAACCACAGCACACTGGATGGACTTAATCTGCCTGCCAGATGTTGTTAGCTCATGCAGTGGTGTTCGTATCTGAACCAATTTGTCTGATTGCCCATACGTTAATGCAGAGTGAGCACTGTTGTCATTTCTCTGAGAAGGGTCACCTAACATTAGCATAGGTGGATGATTGATGCACAGAGTAAACCTTCTGCTCCACCTAATACTGATGATGGTTCTTTGTCTTTGACAGGGTCATAGCTGCAGGCTAAATAATGACCAAAATAAAACAATTCCATAAGTAATCGCTATCACTATTAATGTGTTATTTAAAAACAGAATTAATCAATGAGGCAACATGAGCTTTGAACATGAAAAATACAGAACAACTCGACATGATAATTTTCTTGTTTTTGTGTGTGTGAGGGGTTGGGGGGCATGTGAGCACAGCTAGAAGTCCAGTTTGTGTTTCATTGGTCTCTTGTATCCGTGGCATGAGCTGTCATTATGTTGAGCAGGAGGCATTATATCATTACAGAGGAGTGATGCATTATGTAAAGCTACTCCCCTAATGCCACATAGATTTGATGCTGCTTCCTTGTTCCGCTGATGTATCGGCTATCAGTGTCCAACAATAGTGACACAAGTCTGACATTTCACACAAACTTTTTACCTCAAGCATTTGACATTAGTGTCTTACAGAGGGAGTGGGGCTCAACAGTGACAGATTGGAATATGGTTAGTATATAGAGTCTGTTAAGATAATTATTTCAATCTATAGAGTGAGAGGATCAGAAAGTCAAAGTTGGACTCAGGAGATTTTGACATCTTGTGTACATGTATGTAGATTTATGTACCAATACTTAATTCACGTATGTGGACCATGGTATTTAGAATAAACCTACCTTCATTACAATACCTGTGATGCCCTGCTATGTCAGATTAACACTTTCAATAACCTAATGTAGTTGAGCTAACATTAACCCTGTTGACATTGCATGCTATAACATTATTTTGTTTCATAATTTTATTTGC